AGGAAATGTCTCCCAACCAAAATAAAAGCCCAGGGCCAGATGATTTCAGTGCAGAATTCTACCAGAAATTCAAAAAACAGCTAATACCCATACTCCTCAAAGTGTTCCACACAATAGAAGCAGAAGGATCATTGCCAAACTCTATTAATGAAGCTACAATTACCTTAGTACTCAAGCCCACAAAGACACAACTAAGAAAGAGAACTACAGACCAATATCCCTCATGAACACTGGTACAATAAAATACTGGCAAATTGAATCCAAGAACATACCATCATCCATCATGACCAAGTAGGCTTCATCCCAGGGATGCATGGATGGTTCAACATACAAAAATCTATTATGTAATTCACCATATAAACAAACTGAAAAGGAAAAACCACATGATCATTTCACTAGATGCTCAAATAGCTTTTGACAAAAATCCAACCATGATAAAGGTCTTGGAGAGATCAGGGATAAAGAACATATCTAAACATAATAAAATCAATATACAGTAAACCAACAGCCAGCATCAAACTAAATGGAGAGAAACTTAATGCAATTCCTCTAATATCAGGATCAAGACAAGGCTGTCCACTCTATATCTCTTCAATACTGTACTTGAAGTACTAGCTAGAGCAATAAGAAAACAAAAGGTGATCAAGGGGATATAACTTGGAAAGGAAGAAGTCAAACTCTCACTATTTGTAGATGATATGATAGTTTACATAAGTGACCTGAAAAACTCTACCAGGGAACCCTTACAGCTGATAAACACCTTTAGCAAAGTGGCAGGATACAAGATTAAAAAAAAAAGTAGCCCTAATATATACAAATGATAAAGGGGCTGAGAAAGAAATCAGAGAAACATCACTCTTTACAATAGCCACAAACACAAAATATCTTGGGGTAATGCTAACCAAACAAGTGAAAGACCTATATAATAAGAACTTTGAGTCTTTAAAAAAAGAAATTAAAGAGGATACCAAAAAATGAAAAGATCTCCCATGCTCTTGGATAGGTAGGATCAAAATAGTAAAAATGGCAGTCTTGCCAAAGGCAATCTACAGAGTCAATGCAATCCCCATCAAAATCCCAGCACAATTCTTCACAGACCTTGAAAGAACAATACTCAACTTCATATGGAAAAACAAAAGACTCAGGAAAGCTAAAAGAATCTTCAGGAGGCATCACAATCCCTGACTTCAAGCTCTATTATAGATCTATAATATGGTACTGGCACAAAAATAGACAGGTAGACCAATGGAATTGAATCGAAAACCCTGATATTAACCCACACACCTATGAACACCTAAACAGCTAAAATTATACAATGGAAAAAAAGAAAGCATCTTTAACAAATGGTGCTGGCATAACTGGATGATGGTGTGTAGAAGACTGCAGATAGATCCATATCTATCGCCATGGACAACACTTAAGTCCAAATGGATCAAAGACCTCAACATAAATCCAACCACACTGAACCTCTTAGAAGAGAAAGTGGGAGGTACCCTTGAACAAATTGGTACAGTAGACTGTTTGCTGAACATAACACCAGTAGCCCAGACACTGAGATCAACAATTAATAAATGGGACCTCATGAAATTGAAAAGCATCTGTAAGGCAAAGGACATAGTTAACAAGGCAAAATGGCAACCGACAGAATTGGAAAAGATCTTCACCAACCCCACATCTGACAGAGGGCTGATATCCAAAATGTACAAAGAACTCAAGAAGCTAGTTACCAAACCATCAAATAATCCATTAAAAAGTAGGGTATAAAACTAAATAGAGAATTCTCAATAGGGGAATCTAAAATGGCTGAAAGACATTTAAGTGCTCAACATCCTTAGCCATCAAATGCAAATCAAAACAACTCTGAGATACCATCTTACTTCTGTCAGAATGGCTAAAATAAAAAACACCAATGACAGGTTATGCTGGAGAGGATGTGGAGAAAGGGGTACACTCCTCCACTGCTGATGGGAGTGCAAACTGGTACAGCCAGTTTGGAAATCAGTATGGCAGTTCTTCAGGAAAATGGGAATTAGTCTACCTCACGATCCAGCAATTCCACTCTTACACATATACCCAAAAGATATACATTCACACAACAAGGACATCTGTTGAAATATGTTCATAGCAGCATTATTTGTAGTAGCCAGAACCTGGAAGCAACCTAAATGCCCCTCAATTGAAGAATGGATGGAGAAAATGTGGTACATTTACACAATAGAGTAGTACTCAGCAGAAAAACAAAACAAAACAAAACAATGGAATCTTGAAATTCGAAGGCTAAGGGATGGAACTCGAAGAAACCATCCTGAGTGAGGTAACCCAGTCACAAAATGACAAACATAGTACGTACTTACTCATATATGGATTTTAGACAAAGAACAAAGGATTACCAGCCTACAATCCACACCACCAGAAAAGCTAGGAAATAAGGAGGACCCTAAGAGAGACATACATGGTCCCCCAGAGAAGGGGAAAGGGACAAGATCTCCTGAGTAAATTGGGTGCATGGCAGGAGGGGATAGAGAGTTAGAAGAAAGAGAAGGGGAGAAGAGGAGGGGAGAGGTTGGCATGAGGGTGCAGGAAGATTGAGTCATGGAAACAATAGAGGAGAACAAGAAAAGAGATACCATAATAGAGGGAGACTTATAGGTTTTAAGAGAAATCTGGTGTTAGGGATGACCCCAACTAACAATCTAAGCAATAGTGGAGAGGCTACATTAAATGCCTTTCCCCAATACTGAGATTGATGACTGCCTTATATGCCATCTTAGAGCCTTCATCCAGTAGTTGATAGAAGCAGAAGCATACACCCACAGCTAAAACTCCTGGAATTCAGTTGCATAGAGGAAGTAGTGATGAGCAAAGGGATCAAGACCAGGCTGGAGAAACCCACAGAAACTGCTGACCTGAACAAGGGGGAGCTCATGGACCCCAGACTGATAGCTGGGAAACCAGCATAGGACTGACCAAGATCCCCTGAATGTGGGTGTTACTTAGGAGGACTGGGAAATCTATGGGGGCCTCTGGATCAGGATTTATTCATAGTATAGGAATGGACTTTAGGATCACATTCTACATAGAGGGACACTCTCTCAGCCCAGACACATGGGGGAGGGCCTAGGCCCTGCTCCAAATGATATGGCAGACTTTGAAGACTCCCAATGGAAAGCTTATCCTCCCTGGGGAGCAAAAAGGGGAATGGGGTCATTTGGGGGAGTGGGGGGGGGAAAAGAAAACTTGTATTGACAAGTAAAACAAGCTTGTTTCAAATTTAAATAAAATTATCAAAAAAAGGAAATAGCATAAGTTGATGAAGTGAACAAATTAAAGATACTTATGTATATAACAAGTGCTGGAAAATAGTCAAACTATAATATTAAGAAAAAGAAGTCAGACACAATGGACTGACACTGTAATTATATTATTCAAAGTTCAAACACAGTCAGTTGACATGATATTAGTAGTTGTATTAAGTAGCTTTTTTTTTTTTTTTGATGCCGTGACCAAAGACCTGAGAAGATGTGATTGAAAGCGAAGGGTTTATTCTGGCTTACAGTTAGTCAGGGACATCCCATCATAGCAGGGAAGACATAGCAGTGGGGGCGGTGGGGAGGCATGGACACAGAAGCAACATGCTGGTTGGTCACATTGCATTTCCAGTCAGGAAGCTGAGTGTGACCAGGAAGCCTCAAGTCCTGCTTCCAGTGCCCAACTTCCTCCAATGACACCCAGTCTCTTAAAGTTCTTCCTCCTTCCCAGACAGTGCTATCGGCTGGGAACCTGGTGTTTAAACACATGGACGTGTAAGGGCTACTGCACACGGAAACCACAATGCTGGTACATCAGTAAGCGTGTTAGTCAATGACAGAAGGCTCATATGCAATACGAGTCCCATAAGCTTATCCCTACTTGGTGACGCCACACCACCTTAGACTATGTTACTCTGTGTTGTGCACATAGTGATGAAATAGCCCATGATGCACTTCTCAGAACCCATTTCCTTCATTACACCATACTGACTGTGTTTGCATATAAACTGTGATCATCTGAGTGCCCTTAGTTCTTTTGGAGCTGAGAGCCAGAGTCTAAGTGCTTGGATGGTGCCTGTTTCTGGTAGTCCAGGGAAGACACAGAATGAGAACTGGGAAGGTTGTGCTAAACAAGAGATCGTTAAATAATACTGTGGAAAGATACTGTTTTATATTCAGCTGCTATATTAAGCCCAGTAGCCCAGACCAAAGCAGATTGGAATGACTTGTGCCAGGTACCATGTTAACATGATTTAGTTTTGAGTTCATTTTCATACTTTCCAAAAACACACAAGAAATTCAAGGCAAACAGTAGAAACAGAAGCCAAAGCAAGCTGGGAAGACACGTGTCTTAGATTTCTATTGCTGTGATAATATAGCATTACCAACCAAAAGCAACCTGGGAAGGAAAGTGGTTATTTTATCTTACACTTCCACATTTCAGTCCATCAGTGAAGGAAGCAGGACAAGAACTCATGGCAGGAACAGAAGCAGAAGAAAGCACTGCTTACTGGTTTGCTCATCATGGATTTCTCGGTTTGTTTTCTTATAGCTCTGGGGTGGTCCTGCCCACAGTGAGCTGTGGTCTCCCAGTCAAGGAGAGGTACCACAGGCTTGCTCACAGGACTTTTTCCCATGGAGGGTTCTTCTTCTAAGTGGACACAAAAACCAGCTGGCACAATGCACTTTAAAAAGGTCCCCCTGCCTTCACCTAACACAAAGAAAGCGACTTCCAGGCCTAGGGCTGTGGCTCTTGACAGAGTATTACTGGGTGATTTAGATCCAGTCAAGTTGACAACAATGAATGACTGTTGTACCCACTTAAACCGAACCTCCAGAAAAACCAGGAAATGTTTTAAATGAAAGAACTATTTTACAAAGGTATGTATTTGGAGGGATGAGAGGGGAGGGGCAGCGAGGGAGGAGAGGGGAGAGGAGGAGGGAGGGAGGCTTGTCTGCAGAACCTCTGACTCAGAGCTCTCCTGGTCCCAGGGAGGAGTGCCTGGTGCGAGGGAGAGTCACCAGGGTCAGAGATGACTTAACGTTCAGATGCCATCTGTTCTGGTTGTTGTTCTGAGAGCTGTTCGTGTCCAGAAGGGGGGAACTGTCTGTCTCTTCCCTGCAAAGAGGAAAGAAGTGGGGCTTCCCAATGCAACCCCAGACCCCTTAACTTCCTCCTGGGAGTCCCACTGGCCACAGCCACCCAGGAGCCATGACAAAGCTATTACCGTTCTGGCCTGTTCAGGTCAGTGTGCAGGGCAGAGAGGGGAGGTGGCTCTGCAGGGGCACTCTGGTGACAACAAGAGGCTTCAGGAACTTTGCTTATCTGTGTCCTGGGCCCAGGTTCAAATATCTCTGCACACAGCAGACCCCGCAGGCAAGAGATGAACCTCAAGGCCTTACTAGCCCTAGATGGGAGTGTATCCTAGTACCTCAACAGTCTTCTTCTTCTTCTTTTGGAGCCATAAAAAGTAAACACTGGACAAGAAGGAGGTGAGAGAGAGGTCAGTCAGAGAGTTGGGTGCGTGTCCTTAGGGGCACTGGAGGTGGGAGGAGCCACTCACCCGATGCCTGCCGCAGCCAGGAACATCAGGACGCTGATGAGGATCACAGCCCACTTGTAGGTCCGAACGGCCTTGACTGGGGTAGGAAAGGAGGAACCAGGTGTTTGGAGGCTGGGGTGGGCACTTGAGGTTATAAAAGGCTGTGTCCCGGGCAGATTTGCCCTTCAACAAAGTGTTGAGCGGTGGAGAAGGAAACAGCGGGGAAAGGTTGCTGCAACTGAGAAGTGCGAGAGAGGCTTGACGAAGAGCCGTGGAAGCTTGAGGGCTTGAGGTGTAGCCAGTGAAGCCCGAGGACCTGAATTCCATCTCTGGTGAGATGCACCTGTAATCCCGGAGCTTGGGAGGAGGGGCCAGGCAAACTTCTGAATCTCACTAGGGGCCCTAGTATGTTTGATGAATTTTAGGCCAACGAGAGACGATGTCTCAAAAAGAAGATGGGGAGTTAGGGACGCCGTTCCCCGGCAAAATGCTCGCTACTCAAACCCAGCATCCAGGTAAAAGTCAGATGCAGTAATCTGCATGGGTGTAACCTCTTCATTCCTGTTGGGGGGAAGATGGATGGGATCCCCAAAGCTGTGGGGCATCAGGCCTGGATGAGCAGGGGTGAACAAGAGAGCCTGTGTCTCTGAGAAGGTGAAAAGCAGGTCCTATGATTGCCATACTCTCTCTCTCTCTCTCTCTCTCTCTCTCTCTCTCTCTCTCTCTCTCACACACACACACACACACACACACACACACACACACACACACACACACACACACACCATGGGGTGTTGGGGTGCTGGTGGAAGCCTGAGTGAATTGTAGCAAAACGCTGAAGAGTCATTTGACCAGGCTTAGCTGAGGGGCAGGGAGGAAGGTAGAAAGAGGCTCCTGGCCTATGGTTGTGGGGATCTGAGGACAGCTACTACGAAGAACACTGAAAGTAGAGCCAGTAGTAGAGATGGGATGGCTGTTAGTATTCAGGCATCTGTACTGGCCTGCCTTTGGGGTCCTGACAGGATGTGCCCTCATGCAGTCACTAAGAGCACCACCTGTGCACATTCACTACGTTCCCTTTTAAAAGGGCCCTGCCACGCATAAAGAGCAACACATTGGAAAATGGCCACTTGACACTAGGGAATTTTCTTTCCTTTTCTTTTCTTTCCTTCCTTCCTTTCCTTTCATTTCCTTCCCCCCTTTCTTTTTTTGGGGGGGGAGGTGGGGTTTCTTTGTGTAACAGTCCTGGCTACCCTGGAACTCACTCTGTAGACCAGGCTGGCCTCGAACTCACAGAGATCCTCCTGCCTCTGCCTCCCAAGTGCTGGGATCAAAGGTGTGCTACACAGAGAAACCCTGTCTCAAAAAACAACAAAAGAAGGCTCTACCCATCTCCTACCTTTCTCTTTCTCTGCTTCTCTGCCTCTCTGTTTCTCATCTCTCTTTCTCTCTGCCTCTCTCTTGTTCCCAGAGGCTGGTTTCCCCTTTCCCATTTATTTTCCAACAACAAAGCAAAACCAACACCACCACCACCAACAACAACAACAAAAAACAACAAACAAACAAAAAACCTTCTACCCAAGCTCTGTTGCTTGGCTCTTTAAATTACAGCAATGGGAGGGTTGTGGGCGTGCTCAATCTGAGGACTCAGAAGCAGTGGCTCTCAGGCTCTAAAGCCAGGCAGATTCTATTGTTCTTCATCCAATAGGAAAAGAAAATCCTGGCCCATTCTAGCTAGGACTGAAAAGAATGATGGGCAGAGATGGGAAACCCAGGGGTGGAGGGTTTGGGAAAGAGAGGTCCCATGAGTGGAGCAAAGGCCACTGACCTGTGCAGAAGTTAGGGTCGTTGCAGGACAGGAAGTGCGTCTGGCAGTCAGTACACACAGTGACCTCCGTTGGGGAAAGCATGTCTGTGAGAGCGATGGACAGGAACCTCAGACATGGCAGGGCCTCTCATCCCGTCCTCCAGCTCAGCCCTGGGCATACTCACCACATGAGTCATTGCAGGCTGCCCAGGAAAGTGAGATGGTGGAGAAACTGAGGCAGTAGAGAGGCAGACAGAGCTGGGAGTGGCGGGAGTGGGAGCAGGGTATGGCACTAGGGACTCATGGAAGGACCCTAATCTGTGGGTTAGGACGGAGCTCCTGGGGAGATCTCAGGAGGGATTTCCTATTGGGTTCATTGGATTCTCCAATCCATGATCGAAGGACGATGGGTGGGGACTGGGAAGGGACAGCCCCATCTCCTACCCCTCTGCTTCAGCTCCTGGGACCTGTCCTTCAGCTTCTCAGCCAGCAGACCTTTCTGAACACGGATCTCTTCCAGAAGTGCTGACTTATCTGGGTGTAGCAGAAGGGGACGAAACTCACCGATATGAAGTCAGTCTTTTGTGTACATGTGCACATATATGTATAGGTATGCCTGCATGTGAGTGTGGAACCTGGCAGTCAATCTTTGGTGTTGTTCCTTAGGAATCACCACCTTATTTCTGACCCAGGGTCTTTTACTCTCTGGCTGTCAAGTGAGCTGCTAGGATCCTTCTGCCACTTCAGCACTGGGTGATAGGCACAACCACTATACACACATGCGTGAGGTATATGAGTATAAATCTATCTGTGTCCCTCCAAGTGCAGGTGTGCACATGTCACAGCATGCATATGGATGCCACCGGAAACCTCGGATGGCAGTCCTCACTTCCGTCTTGCTTCTCGAGGCAGGCCTTCTCACTGTTTGCTGCTGTGTGTATGCAGCTAGCTGACCCAGGAGCTCCTGGGGAATCTTATGTCTCCACCTCCTACCTCCCTTTAGGAGCACTGGATTACAGACATGTGCTACCACTCTTAGCTTTACCAGGCTGGGATCTGGGGATCTGAACTCAGGCTTGTGTGGGTAGCGGTTTATCTACTAAACCACTTTCCCATTCTCCCCCGAGCCCTAGACTTGGTCTCATGTATCCAGACTGATCACTACATAGCAGAGGATGCTCTTGAATTTATGATCCTCTTGTCTTCACCGCTAAGTGCTAGAATTATGTCTGTACCACCACAGAATGCATAGTGACACAGTGACACTGTGTGCTCTTCAAGGAAGCTTCCCTGCCCACTACCAAAAGAGCCTCCAGGGAGTGCTGTTTAGATCAGGTCTTGATAATCCTACTCAATCCCTGCGGTCCTTACCATCCCTCAGCTTCTTAATGGCATTGTCTAATTGGGTGAAGAATGTAGCTGTTTCTTCTTCCAAATGGTCTCGAGCTGAGAATGGGACAGGGGACAGAGGGACGTTGGGGACAGGATCAGGTCAGTTGAAAGGGTGCTCCATCCCTGCCCGGCTGTGCCTCACCAAGGTACCAGGGCGCTTGTAAGGTGTTATCCTCCAGGAAAAAGGAGTGTAGGACTTGTGAGAGTTCTGTGGGTGGCCCTGGGCTGCCCCAGAGCACCTGCAGGTCATAGTCCAGCAGGGAAGGCAGCTCTGGCCAGCACCGGAGGCAGCTTTTCCCATTGGACACTGGTAGGAGGCAGAGCAGCAAGACAGGAAGCATCTTCTGGGGTCTTTGCCATGTATTCACAGCCCCATATGGGGAACGCGTTGCCCTGGGAACAGCAGAACAAAGGTAAATTCCATGGACACGGCAAGGGTCATTTGAAGTGAATCTAGGCTTAGGCATCACAGCCGGCAGGGAGGGAGAAGAAAGTGATATCAACATCAACATATGAAAGAAGTCGGGGGCAGCAAAGGTCTGAGCTTCAGGGCTGGGGGACGGTGGGGGGGGGCACTGAGATGTGCTATTTTGGTAAAAACTTAAAGAGTTATAATGGCATTGACATACATACAGACAGACAAACAGCAGCGTGTCCAGTCTCAGTCCCAGGAGGCAGAGAGAGTATCTTAGAGGAAGGGGTAAGGTTTCACAGTTCAAGGGGAAGAATCCTGGGGTATGAATGTATGACTATGGGAATAGAAAGGAGGAGAAGAGAAGGGCCATATGTAAGTGAGGTTTAGTCATTATACTGGTGGGATGTGTGGCCTCTGATGTCTCTCACCTGGACTCCAGTGGGTGGTCTCCAGACTAAGACCCATCCCTATAAACACCAAGTGAGCCTTAGCTTAATCTCTTGCCTCAGAATTGGTCACTGTGCTTGGCAGGGAGTATTATCTGATGATTCATGTGTTAACATGAATATGAGGATGACGTTTCCTACACATGAAATCTGAGAGGCACGCTCAGAACAGAAGTTCTCAACTTAAATCCTGATGCTATGTCTCGCTCGCATTCTGAGTGCTGTCTCCTAGATTTACGACTGGGTTCATGCGGGCACTTGAAACCTTTCTACTTTCCCTCTAAGTCAGTTGTTTGTCCCACTGTGAAAGCAAAATTCCTGACAAAAGCAACGTATGGAAGGAAGGATTGATGTTGGCTCACAGTTGGAGAGCACATAGTGTCACTTTGTCTTAAAAAAAACTGTGTGATATCAGTGTCTTAAAATTGTCTCGTTCAAAGAATTGAAATTCTTTGAAAAATAATGTAAATTAGTGAGGGATTTTATTAGTAAAGGGAAGGAGTGGATATGATATATAGCAAGGGAGGTGCAGGCTCTCAGTGAGGTTTGTGCAATAGCCTGGGTTACTTAACCTTATTGCTAAAGTGGAAATAATGCCTATTGATAAAGCTATTTCTTTTAAAATAATAAAATTTAGTTCCTTTATGGCTCCTGGAGGATGAGGAGTGGTTGCTAGGGGCAATAGGCTTTTTTTTTTTTCTCTGACAAACTCATTCACAGGTATGCTTTTTCCTTTGAGTGCATGCACAATCTTGTATAGGCATAGGATGTTAAAGAAGGGATTATACCTTAAAGTTCATTCTGGGGACACAACTTATTTTACTTCATACATATCTAAAGCTAGTGCAGGCTGGATCAGCTCACTGTCTCTAGTTCCAGATTTTGTTTCAGGACATGTTTGAGCACAGAAGGGGAGTTGCTAGAAAGATATTGGGACAGAGTCAACTGGTTGCCTTATTTGGAAAGGATTTTGCATATAACTAAGTGTAAGTGGGGGCCCTGGGTTGCTAAGGCATCCCATAAAACTTCAAGAGGTTTATTCAGTGTTTGTATTTGAGGGGTCAGGAACTTTGAAACCATCCCAGAATTCTGATACTCATACTTTTGACTCCTAAATCCCTGCTCTCTGGGCATTCAGAAGCTCCACCACTGTGTTAGGAAGGCTCCTCCCATAGCCTTTTAGCAGGAAACTGAGCTTGTTGCAGGCTTAGCTGCAATGTAGTCCTGACTCTAGTGACACAGTGTTAGTGCAGTTCCCATGACTCAGAGAAATCCTCCAGCAAGAATTCTCCACTTTAGAGGAGGGTACAGGAGAGCCCAACAGAGGAGTGAATATGTTTAAAGGACATGATACATGTGCATATAAATGTCTTAATAAAATCCACTGTACAAGGACCACACGTAATAAAAATAAAAGAATACCCCACTTTAGACACCAGCTTCAAGCTCTACAATTTGCACAGCCATTTTCTCTTCTCACATGTCACTAAACAATGTGCAGTCCCTATTCTGCCTTCAGATCTGATTCACCGGAATAGCTTGCAGAACTCCAGCAAGCATCCTGTCATTCTGTTTCCATGGTAAAGGATAGAGATCAGGGCCAGCCAAGTGGAGACACATGACAGGGACAAAAGGTTTTGGAGGGTCCTGAACACAAAACCCCATGTCCCAAGGGTGCATTTCTCTGGTGTGTTAATGTAAGCCATCTAGGAAGCTCACTGGAAACTGGTGTTCAGTTTTCCCAGGGGCTTCATTGCGTTGGTATGACTGACTGCTAAGACAACCAAGAACCAAAGACTAGATAGCCCAGGGACCTAGGATCTAATATAGTGATAACACGATTCCTGATGATTCTCTACTATATTCAGCCATCATCAGAGAATTCTCATCCTGTAGCAGAGGGAACTAATACAGAGACCCACAGTCAGACATGCAGAGAATGAGCAAGGCTGGCACACAGCTCTAAATGGGTTGTCTCTAATGAGTTCCTTAGAGCTCAGGGAATCCCTCAGAAGAGGAGATGGAAACTGTGTAAGAGACAGAGGGGATGGAGGATAGTAGGAGGGCAGGTCCCCCCATAGCAACATGAAAAACTCATGTAAACTCAGAGACTGAAGTAGCGTGCACAGGGCCTGCACAGATTTGCATCAGGCCCAGTTTACTGTTCTTATGGGATGCCTGGGTATAGGAGCAAATGGGTCTCTTAACTCTTGTGCTTTTTCCTGGGCTCTTTTCTTTTTGTTGGTTTGTCTTGTCCAACTCTGACATGATACTTTTGTTTGATCTTATTGTATTTTATTAATTTCTATGTCTCTCATCTATTTATTTATTTATTTATTTATTTATTTATTTATTTATTGAGACAGGGTGGCCTTGAATTCACAGAGATCTGCCTGCTTCTGCCTCTTGAGTGCTGGGATTAAAGGTGTGCGCCACTATACCCGGCTTCATTATTATCTCTGAGAAAGAAGCCTGTTGTTTTCAACTGAGAGACAGAAAAAGAGTGGATTCAGATGGGAGGGGAGGTGGTGAGTGGAGGAGTAGAGGGAGGAGAAACTGTAGCCAGGATATATTATGTGAGAAAAGAATTTGTTTTCAAGTAAAAGAGAAAATGTCAATAAAAAGAAAGTATTCCTGTTGGCTGGCACTACACAGAAGTATTCAGGACCCAAGTGTAGCCCTAAGCATTTAGAGCAAGGGGCTTTTAAAGGAAAAACAATATCCTGCTGTCTTGCTCTGCAGCTGCAGGGAGAGGTTTGCACAAGCAAGCAGTTTAGCAGAAGCTAAGATAAGTTCACTAAGGCATCATGACTTTGGTTTCTTAGAATAGAGTTGTGTAATTTTCTACAGGATTCTCCATGGAGAGCAAATTCTAGTTAAACTTGAAATGGCCTCAACAAGAATACAAGGTGGAGGAACTTCTTCATTGCCTTGTCCTGTCACATACCTCTTTCAGTCTCCAATTTAATGTTCCCAGCAAACTTAGGCCCCAGTGAAGTGAGCTAGTATAAATTGTAGGCAATGTCTGGTTGAAGTGCACCAAAGCCACATGTCTGGGAGAATCCTCTGCATGGCTGGAGATAGAAGTTCAGCCTCAGACTCTCCTGTTAATTCAGTGAGACTCATGGAGAGCCATGGACAACACAGAGCTGTGACAGCTAGGACAGGTAACATTTATCAAGCTCACATGGTTCAACATCCAAGGCATGTGGCCAGAGTAGTGGAAGGCAGCTTGTTCTAAGGACAGAGTAATTTATTCCTCCATCCCTCATACATGTATTCCATGAATACTCATTGAGCTGTGTTTACTCTGTGTCAGCTGAGTTCGGCATACTGATCACTGCATGTGTCCACATGTGGGTGTGTGTGCCTAGATTTGAATGTATATGTGTGTGGAGGCTAGAGACCAATGTCAGATAGGCTATAATAATTCACTTAAACTATCCCTACTGAAAATACCAGAAGACTGAAAAGAGGAATAAGTTTAGCCAAGAGACCTTAGAAAGAAAACAAATGAAGCTATAATTACTAAAACACAAACTATGATTAAGAATACAAACAGCAAAAAACATCAACACATACCTTTCAATAATAATTTTAGATATTAATGACCTCAACTCCTCAAACAAAAGACACAGTAACTCAGTATCTTTCTGTTTTTCAAAAGAAACCTATCTTAGCTTTAAAGATAGGCATCACCTTGATCTGAAAGGATAGAAAAAAGTATTCTAGTTGAGCAGGACAAGGAAGTAAGCAGGTGTTGCTATCCTAATATTTGACAAAGTAGATATCAAGCTAAAACTAATCACAAGAGATAAAGAGGGACACTTTCTTCTAAGCAAAGGAACAATTAATCAAGAATACATTATGACCTTAGTATGTATGCAACAAGATCCAGTGCACCCAATTTTACAAAAAGTACTACTGAATCAAAGTCACAGATTAATATCAACCCATTAATAGCATGTGATTCCAATGCCACATATTACCCAATACGATAAGCAGGTCATCTGGACAAAACAGAAACAAAAACAAAAAACAGAGAAACAACAGAGTTAAATGGCATATACATCAAATAAATATCTATAGAATATTCCATCCAAACACCAAAGAATATATCTCCTACTCAGCAGCCCCTGGAAGCTTCTCTAAAACAGAAAACCTACCGGGGCACAAAACCTTAAGAATGATATAACCTTAAATATGCTGACTACAATACAAAAGAAAAAAAAACAACTTAAAATCAACAGCAAATGAATCCACACTAACTACACAAATTCAAGGAGGTTAAATAACACATTACTGAACAATAAATGAGTTAAAGGAGAGAGCAAGAAAGAAAAATGTAAAATCCAAGAGCTAGATGAAAATGAACCCACAGAACATCACCACCCTTGGGGCATATCAAACACAGTCCTAAGACAGAAATTTATAGCTCCTCACCCATACTTTCAAAAATCAGGAAGAGCACAAATAAAAGCAACTTAAGAATTTGGAAA